TAGCATAAACTAGCCTAGTATGTTTGTAAAGTTTTATTTAAAGCTTAAAGTAAAGTTTTAAGCGTAAGTATAGTTAATAAATATTTAGCCTATAATAAAGCCTATCTTACTAAAGTTATATGTGTTATTATTTTAGATGCTATACTTAGCTTTAATATTCTTTATAAAGATAAACCTACTTTAAATTACTTTAGAACCTTTACAGAAAGCTTTTTTATAGTTATACTACGCTTAAATGTTACTTTAAGCTCTAGATAACGCTTCCTAAACATATAAGGCTAGTTTATGCTAACATAGCCTACATTATGCTTAGCGTGTAAAGAATTAGCTATATTAGCTATAAATGCTATTTAAAAGGGAAATTTTTATGCATATAGCTTAAGTATAGTCTTAATAATCACCTACTTCTTATTATTACCTAGCCTTTATAAGTTTACTATAGAATTAGCTTATAAAAGTTGTGTAGTGCTGTAGTTATTTATTATTTTTTAAGAAACTTTATACATAGCTATAGCATGTTTCTTTAAGAGTTTTATATTTTATTTAAAAGCTTAGAGTGTAAGCTATACTTAACATTCTTTTAGCATGTCTAATTAGTGTTGTTGTAAATGCATTAGTGTACAAAGAGTAGTTTAGTAGGGTCTTAGTAAAAGTAAGCGACTTAGGTGTGTAAGCAACTTGCCTGTGAAGTACGTTACTATTTAAACATATAGCACTTATAGAAGCTAACATATTATAGACGCCTTAAGTACATAATTAAAAGACATATAGATAGAAAGGTTTATAACTTACTAATAAATAAAAAAATTACTTAGATTAAAAAGTAACTAAAAAGCGCGTAATATAGCAGTTTGTAAAATGCTTTAGTAAAAAAAAAATAGATCTTAAAGGTTACTGCTAGGAGTCTCTTGTACCCTAGCAGCATTACAGCATAAGCTTAGTAAGGACGTTGTGGATTAGGATGGCATCCCTAACAGCGCGGCGCGTCTAGACTGTACGCTGCATGCTCGCGCTCTTATTAAGTTATAGATTAGGTCTAGCTAGACTAGCAGCATACTTAATAAAGCGTTACTTGTTTTTTCCTATGTACTAACTGCGTGTGCGAAGAGCTTGCTGTCTCCTACACCCTAAGTGTCTTATAATAGTTACCCTGCTCTCTGTTATTCTCTTACTGTTCTCTATTACTCTGTTTTGCTCTTCTAGCAGCTCTGTCTAAGATCTTTTAGCTGCTCTGTCTACGCATTGTGCTGCTCTGCTCTCTTTCAGCTCCCCTTGTTACTCTCGGCGAGCTGGGGGGTGTGTCGCGTAAGAGAGCACATGGTCCTAGTGTCGCGCCTGTGTTTCGGACGAGCAGCCTGAGACACTTGGCGCCGGAGCTCCCACTACATAGGCAGGCTCCCTATGAGCCTCTCATAGTCAATAGACATGCTCCTCATTGCTCCCTGATCAGCCGTTGCGCAGCGTTCCCAACCGTACGTACTACGACTCGTAGATACGTGAACGTAGCAGTCACGTGAGCCGTTGAAACGTAGGAGGAGTGTGAGCCGTAACGTACGTAGGAGCCAGCTCCTATTACAGACCGTAATACGTCTTAGAGAGACAATATTTCCTAGTAATATAAGGTCTTATTAGACAGCTATAGGGACGCGTTAGGAGGGTGTTTAAAGTTATGTTTTTAGAGTAATAATTAGGTAAAAACTCTACAGTTTATACAACAATTAAGAAGCTAGCAAAGAAGGGGATTAAGGCGTAGGATTTTATAATTTTAGTTAAGAATTATAATTGCCTATAAACTTACCTATTATAAGCTAGATGTCCTAGTTCCTCTAGCATAGCAAGTGTACAGCTTTATTCTAAGAATTCTTTTAAGCTAGCTCTTTCTACTAAACTAGGGTTACTTATTACGCTAGTTCTTGTTAACTTGCCTAATTAAGGTTCTTATTATTAGAGTTCTTAGTTTTCTTCTGTAATAGCACGCTATTTAACAGTCTCTTAGCCCTTATAAAGAAGTACCTAGATAACTCTACTTTTAATAATAAAGTATTATTTGCTATTAAGTAGAACAACATCTAGATAGGAAACAGAAAGTTAAAGCTAAAAAGGCTTAAATACTAGGTAAAGCATAAAAGCTAATTACATAGTAATTATTAGTTGTTCTAGATATAGCTTTATAAAGCTAATTTAGTGTATAACAATAAAAAAAACGCCTCTAGAATAAAGTTATAGCTCTACAGAAGGTGCTACGCTAAGGTTAATTATAAAGGGGTAAAAAAAGTTAACAGTTACACTTATATTGTCTACCACCTTAAGAAGAAGCACTAGATAGACATTAGTAGGGGAAGTAAAAGCGCTCTCTTGCCTAACAGGCTAAAAATTTTCTTAAGTTTATTTAAAGTAGCTTATAAAGTTATAGGCTTGTTATATATTATCTTTTATAGTGTTTAGCAAAAGGAAGCTCTACAAGCAGTAGTTATTAACTAGGTAATACTTTATAATATTTTCTTTTATACAACATTATTAGTAAAACTTTAGGGTATTATTATCTAAAACAGAGCTAATCTTCTTACTGCCTTTTTAGTGTCTAACACTACATATTTGTCCTACGTGTAGTAGGGATATACGCAGCAGAAGCAGGAGATTTAAATAATGCTAAGAATAGCCTAAAGCAAAATTATGTTAAGTGTTAATATATAAACTTCTTTAAACTACTTCTTCTTCCTAGGTGTAGTGTTGCACTTTATTAGTAAGTGTACCTTAGCTTATTAGTTTAGCGTTTTAGTATTCTTTATTAAACTAAACACTAACTAATAATACTGTGTAGATGTTAACTACTAACACTATAACATCCTAATTAGCTTCTGCAACCTATATAGTAACTATACTAGAGTAAATTAAGCGCTAGAGATTGTTAAAGTTATTAATAACTTTAAAATTATGTTAAAATTTTATTATTTAGTAGCTAACAATGTGTTAAATAATAATAATAAGACTATCTCTGCCTTTACCTAACATTTTAATATGCCCCTTACCTCTAAGCACTGTATACGCTGCGCTAGCTATATAATCTAGCTAGTAGTAAAAGCAGTTATCTATAGTAAAAGAATAAGCGCTTTTAAAGCAGAGCTTACTTAAGCAGCTCTTTAAAAATAATTTAACCTCTATTACTGCTATAAAGTTATTAGAAAACTTTATAATTTTATAAATATAGTGCTAGCATTACATAAATAACAAAAGGCCTTTATAACTTTTTAAGCTGCTCTTAATAACAACAACCTTTTCTAGGGCTTTAAGACGCTTAATCTTATATAAAACAGCAGCGTACGCTAGCACAGCGTTTATCTTATACTCCTTTGCTGTTTTAAGCTTAAGAACACTATTACTAAGTTTATACATAAGTAGAGAAGCACTAATAATAACTTTATAAACTCTACTATCCCTAGTAACTTTACTCTTACTAAGGTTATTACTAAAAATAAATAAAAGGAGGTTAATTACTTTTATAAGTTTCTTAAAGTTTTTTACTTTATAATAAAACACCTTAAGGGTAACAGCTTTTATAGCTCTTTTTAGATGTCTGTTGTTAACCTACAACACCTTTATACTAAGCTTTTATGTATAGGCAATAAACTTAAGAGTAAGAGTAATAATTACTACTTTAAATCTAGTGTAGCATTTAGCACAGAGAAGTTGCTTACATACTAGAAGAAGTTTATTATTAAGCTACTTATATTTTATTACTGCGTAGCAATAATTTTAAACTCTTAACTTTATCTTATTTAGTTTAAGGACTACTAAAGAAAGCACCCTACATAGCATAAAAAAGCTAAGGCTTTAATAAAAGCTGTTTTTTAAGAGTATGTTAATATAAAGGCTAAGGCTAAAGCTAATAATAATAACATTACCTAAAAGCTTATGCAACGCAAGTTACCTAGTAGTAACTATTATAATAAAAGCTTTAAAAAAACTTTTTTTTATTAACATAAGCCTTCTTACTAGCAGCTGCTTATATAAAAAGTAGTAGAAAATAACAGAGTTGCAGCAGTACTATAACAGCTACTGCAAAGACGTTACTATAGCTAATAACAACAGCCTTTTATTTACTAACTCTTTTACTTAGTAGAAACAAGTTAGACAACTTTTTTACTTTATACTATATAAAATTACTTTTAACTTTTTATTTATCTTTTCTATAAGCTGCAATTATAAGAGGTCTTTTTTTAGAAGTAAAAGAACTGTTACCTGTAATAGAAATAAGCTCTTTAGCTTAATAATTTAGGCTCTCTAACTGTAAAAAAACTAGCTCTAGTAGGGTTATATTTACAGTAAAATAAGGGACTTAGTAGACTGTATACGCTGTAATGTCTTGTAAGCTGTTAAAATGTAGGAGGATTGTAAGCTGTAACAGTTACGCCCTGTAAGTAGATTTAAATTCTCTCTTTATGTTAAAACGTACTAACAAACTAAGAAGTTACAGCCTAAAAAACGGCGAGTTGAAACGTATTACGTACGGTTGGGAACGCTGCCGTTGCGACAAGTATTCTCTCGACTATAGAGCTGCTAGCTGTTAGATTGCTTAGAGAAGAACGGTACTAGAGTCCCTCCCGTCCCTATCTATGGCGACAGGACTCTATAAAGCTTGCTGCATCTTCTTAAAGAAAAGAATCACCTAGCTTAATAATATCTAGTATATTCCTAAGCCTGTAGGTTGAATAGCCGCTGTACAGAGAGTCTAGCTGTTTTACAGAACAGAGGTAATAAGTAGGCGGAGGTGATAACGCCGCTTATGTATACATACTACTAAGTGCTAGGTTCTAGCTCTTGTTTAAGGAGGTTTTAGATAGTGGCCCTAAAGAGCGTTTAGTGTTACCCCCTACCTAAGAGGAGTAGGGCAGAGGAGAAATCTCTCTTACATTATTCATAGTATATTTTCCTAGTCTATCTAAGCCAACAGATGTATTTAACACGTTATTCGCATTTTTAAACTTTAGGGGTGTAGGACCTTAGGATAGCGAGCAGCCTATCGTTAGCGTTACAGTGGTATCTTTACTAAGGTCTAGCATCTCCGTATTAGCACTAGAGCTCTGCTCGCCCACAGTGAAGAGAACTCCAGACAGTTGAGCACCTTCAGGGGATGAGCGCTCGTCCGGGGCAGCTTGAGGCGTTGCACGAGCAGGTGTAGCGGGTTCGCCACGATGGAAAGTTAGCTCGCGTGGTAAGAGCTTTTGCTCGGCGTAGTCTAGGTCCTCGGCTTCCGCAACAGCAAGCAGTGACAGAAAAGCCCTGGCGGAGAGAATAAACTGCCGAGTTAGCGGCATCATTACTAAGATAAATATCATACCTTATCTTCTCTCATTCGAGCACGCACATGGCCTAGGAGCGGCTCTTTCGCATTAGAATCCTGCGCGGTATGAGCAATAATTACGTTGAAGTGATTTCTACCAACCAGAACAATAGAACGCATAACGGCAGGGGAGTGGATGTCTTCAGAATATTAGCGTAGGAAAGATGTTAAAGGAAAGAGGGAGACGGGGTAAAAGCGACGCCCCAAAGGAACCGGGGGTCGCTACCATCCACCACTTGTTAGACTAGCTTGGGCCACTCTTTCCCTATTGGCTGTTCTCGACCCTAAAACGATTCATATGCATCTATAAGAAGCCCTAAGGTAACGCCACATTCGCGACGACAATATATTCAGTGCACAACGGCAGAAAATACCACTATTATCTCTGAATCAAGTCATCATGCCTGAAGAACGGGGACCTGCCATGCCGCTATAGGCAGTCAATGTGCGGAATCAAATCCAGCCAACAGAGCGTCCGGTTCCACAACAATAAAAATAGCGGAGAAGATCCAATGACAAAGGGGGCCGGGCACTTTCAGGCAAGCATCCGGGTGTGCGTACAAATATGAATCTGTATGAAACGCTTAGAGCCTTAGAGGAACCAAAAGTAATCTTGCAGTCACTAGCAAGGAAAGAAAACGCGGTGAAGGGCCTTTCAGGGGTTGAAATGCAGTCACTCTCAATGACTAATCTTGATTGTCTTAAGAAAGATACATGTATCGTTTATTCGAGAGGCGTGGCAGAGAGGTAGAAGAATAACTAAGGAGTTATTGTAGCCTCTAATTTAATGTAGGTGGATTTTATAGAATTATAGCAATGCTATTATGCACATGAGCTCTCTAGTTGCTGAAAGTCAAAGCACCTCTTATTTTTCTCAGCACAGTGTTTTTCGCTAAGTGGTAAGAGATATTCCTCGTTTATCCTAGTAACGTTATATGCAGTGATCGGTGTTACAGGAGCGCGGGGCGATTCCTCTGCTGACAGTGCTTTTAGCCTCGGTTGTTGTGGGTCTAGCTCTGAAGAACGGGGTGCATGTATGATGCATACACTGTGCCGGAAATGTGGATCTACGATGCGAGGATCTTTTGCGAAGACGGGTAGCGTTGTCAGCACGTCTCACCGCACATTTAGCCGAGTCTTCTAAAGGGTAAGCTGAAGACTAGGATCTGTACTAGCTATCCTTGCTTGTTCTAACGCCATTATGTAATTATTTATATTATGTAGGAATGTAGTTTTCTGTGCCATTTACAGTGCAATAGTTCTCGAGCCTCGAAGAATTACACATGTGTGTTGTTTCTGGAACACTACGGCGATCGCACAAAATTCATTCGTCGTCAACAGCAATCTCATTTGCCCTGTTTTAGGTACGCAAGGTAGTTATCCTTCTTTTGCGTCCATGGCTCCCGCAAGCTTTTCAGACCAGAACGAGATAGACGCTGGGCACAAGGTCTTGACAATCTTAGGATGTGGTATGCTACTCATTCCGCGCCATGTTCGGAGATCTTTTCACACTAAGGCGTTCACAGGATCTCTTGGTACTGCCATTCTGTCTGGTATACTTGCGTCGAGAAATGCATCCTCTTCAACAAGCGAGGAGCAGCCTAGTCCAGGCACGACGTTCAAGCGCTTTGTCGCTTGCGTACGTCGCGACGAAGCTGTGGCTGCAGTCAAAGACAAGCTTGCAGCTTACGAGGATACCTCCAATGTCGAGGTTCTCAATCGACAAAATTTGAAGGGAGTCAAGCAAGCAGACACAGTCCTTCTCGCCTGCCAGCCAGAATGGTATCAAGCAATCTTTGACGAACCAGGAATGCGAAGAGCTATGGAAGGAAAGCTGATCATCAGCGTACTTGCCGGCGTGACGACGCAACTTATCCAAAGCGCCTTGGGGGGGGACGAAGGGCAGTACTTTGTGGTGCGTGCTATGCCTAACACGGCTTGTTTCGTGAGAGACTCGACAACGGTGATCGAGACACCTCAGTCAAATCTGTCACAAAGTCTGCTTGCTACAGCAGAATCTATTTTCCGTTGTGTAGGACAAGTGTCCTACGTAAAGCCGTCGACATTCAACGTCTGTACAGCAGTCTGCGGATCATCTCCCGCATTCTTCAGTGTGATTATCGATGCGATGGTGGACGGCGCGGTAGCGATGGGCTTGAATCATGCCGATGCTCTACGGATGGCGGCATTCACTATGAGAGGAACCGCTAATATGCTTGCCAATGGGCGAGATCCCAGGCAGGTACGATTTGAGGTTGCATCTCCCGCTGGTTCAACCATGCAAGGTCTCCTTGCACTTGAGGAGGGTAAAGTGAGGTCAGTGGTTTCCAATGCATTGATAACAGCGACCACAGCGGCTGCGGGACTGGGTAGCAAGGACCAGAGGTCTTGATGTGAGCTTGAATTTGTAGCAGCTAGCACAATAGCGGAAGAATGAGCATAGGCGGTTAGGCCAGACGACTCTTCATGTTCTTGCTTTCTCTCTAGCTAAATAAGGCTATAATTCTTGCTTTCTGTTTGTCCTAGTTATTATATACTAGCAGCTCTTATACGCTCTCTGTAGGAAGTTAGATAGGGCATGTTCATTAGCCAAACACATTTTTTCGCGATCTCTACAAACCTTAGAATAGGAGACTTTGAAATCGCTTACTTATATTCAGTATAGAGAATGAATGCATCTTAGTAGGTCCTCTCTCTTACATATGGCGCCTATAGACCGTGGTTTAGAAATTACCTAGCAAGAAATAGTAACAGCTGTGTTTCTAGACAGCGCAGTGCTTTAAGAACTTCAACAACCTGCTTTAGCGTGCTTAACAGGATGTATTTAACTTTAGTAGAGCGAAGAAATGTATTAAGCGCGTGATTATTAAGATTAATTTGCATTTAGGTAAAGATATCCGTTGGTACTACAATTACTCCTGCCACTGTACGCGCGATCCTTACAGATTGTTTGCGCAATTACACTTCACAATAGAATAAGTAGTTTAGGCTCTAGCTATCATAAGAGCAGATTTTCACAGTTGCTTCTGTAGAGAACTAAATATTTAAGCAATACATACTTGCTCTCTGCTAACGCGATTACTAGAACTTATAAAACGCTGTCCTCCCGGTCTTAACAGCCTTCAGCACCCCTACATCCGCCAACTCCTTAATTATATTATATAGCACAAAATCGCACTCCCTCCTCACTACCAAATTCACTGTAACAGGAATCATCTCCTCCACAAACGTGACCTGCGACAGGTACGGCACCTGTCCGATCGGCACAGTGAAATTGGCACATGCAAAAATAGTACAGATACCTAATGCTAGTAGAACAGCCCTAGGAGACGGAACCGCCAAACGCGTCGCGTTTGGTCCGACGTTGAGCTCCTCTTCGCGGTACGAGGGAAGACCCCCGGTTCTAATATCGTAGATCATAACGCTTTCGGAGCAGGATTCGTTGGTAGAGTACTGAAGGTTCTTCTCGTATCAATTAAATGCATCTCTCTTAGCGATGAGGGACGCGTTGTAAGCTGGCATTGTATTAATCATTTCATCATAAGTAGCCCAGCTAGCGCGGAATTCTGCTTCGATAGGAGGGAAGCGACCTCCATAACGCGCAGCCCAAGTTGAAACGAGCCGGCTGCCGATAACTTTCCATGTGGGGAGTTCCAAGGCGGATAGCAAGATCAGTGATGTTGATGACGGCTTGCGTGGATACAGAGGAGTTCTGGATGCTGGACGTGAAGTCGAAGTGTTTCACCCTCATCCCAAAAAGGGAGGACATGTTGCCAACGAAATAATCTAGAAGTTCTTAGGCAGCGCTATTCTTCAACGGCAAGTAGTCGGTTGGATACAAAATAGTCTTTGGGTAGTGTTTATTGTCAGGGACTTCGAGAGGAGAGAGTCCAGTAATATCAGAGCTCTGATGTAAGGAAGGCGCGTACCAGTGCTTAGCAAAGTGTGTCGCACGTGTCTCACGCGATATCATACCCATGTACTGCACTATTCACTCATTAGGCATAGCTCCTCTCTCGTACAGTATATAGTCAGCCCAGAGCTCTACCGAGCTCCTTAGACCTTACAATACACTCGTGCAGTCCACTTTGTTTGGATCTCAGTACCTTGTTGATTCGCTTACCATATGACCCCTTCTCAGCTCATGCAAGAAAGTGTGCCCAAGAATGAGGGTCACGGGTAAAGATACTAGCTGTGTTAGTAGCGAATCCAAGCGGAAGTACGTTCTCGAGAGAAATCATTCCTTGACTTGGACGCTGGCTATAGATACCAGAAACAGCCGCTGGGTGACGCATAGATTCCCCAGTATCGGTTCCAATAGCATAGTCGAGCCAGTCGTACGCTGCAACAGCGCAGGTACTGCTAGAAGAGGACGCCGAGCAGCTCAGGTATCCGTCACCGCGAGGATTGAACGGGTAATTGAAGTCTTCCCAGCTCTAAGGATCAGCTGCAGAAGCAAATTGTGCAGGTTTTGACTTGCCCACAAGAACACCTCCCAGCTCAATGATCTGCTAGAGTGCGGGCGCTGTCGCGTTGGCAGGATCAACGATGGATTGCCATGCTAAAGATCCGCCTGACGCTTTTAAGCCTTTCATGTCGAACAAGTCCTTCACGCCAACTCTGAAGCCCGCGAAGGGCCGAGTGTCGTAAAGAGAGTACAAGCGCGAAGGAACCGGAATAGTCGCGAACACAGATCCAGGAAATCTGTGGTCAATGGCTGTGTAGCTACCGGTGCCATCGTTGGGTTCGTACGAGCCATACAGAAAGTTGTCGTGGTCGTCGCTGTAAAGGCGGTATACCGTTGAGAAGCTGATCACATTACCGGAACTTGTTGCTAGATAGGGTCCAGGAGGCAGCTTCAGTGGACTTGGCGACTTGGCTACCTTGGTCGAGGATGTTGAGATTGTTGTGTCAAGCAAGACGTGTTCGGCTCCTGAGCTTGAAAGATAGTCAATAGCCGACTCTCCAAGAACGCCCTTAGAAACAAGTGAAGGAAAGGCAAAGGCAACAAACAAGGCCTTGGAAAAAAAAACCGCCAATGCCAAAAAACGCCAAAACCGGGCCTCCAAAAGCCGCCGACGTAAGGCCGAAGCAATGCGTGAAAAAAACGGAAAAAGGAAACAATGGTGAATCCGCCCCCCCCCAAAACGCCAAGTGAAAATGGCCTTTGGATACTTGGTATTAACAAGATATGTGTTGTCACCCAGCTTGAACACGAGTTCATCTTCACGTGATGTTAGGAGGGAAATAGCTTGATTCCTCAATTGCAAATGCGCGAATGCTTGTGCACCGCATAGCGCAGCCAAGATCACAGCACGAAGAAAGCAGCACATCTCGTTGCAATTGAACGAATGTGCAAAGAACTGTCTACATTCGCGTCAATTCCCTTAGAGTACGAAAATAAGGCTGTGACCGCAGGAAATATCCGGTGTTTCCCTATGTCAGCCCTAAAAGAGGTGTTAGCGCCCCCCCCCCCCCAAGACCCTATTTCATCATTTGTTCAGAAATGGCCATTTCTGGAATGTAATTTGCGACAAATCGGGATGAGAGGCGGCTACCTCAACGTGTTGATCACTGACGACCTTACTAGGCACGTACTAGTATTGAGATTTGCGTAGAAGGTATGCTCGAGACCCACTACTGCATTGTGAATCCAACGACAACAGCTGAAATAACATGGTCAGACTAACTTAATGTTAGAAACTAAAATAACCACGATCCTGAAGGAAGAGAGAGAGGGGGGCATTTGATTAATGCCTAGCCTAGCCAGGCGCTAGTCGCATCTTCTGTTGCCTGGTGGGATGTGGAGTTAACTAGTGAGATGTCTTGCATGAGCTGAGAAGGGGTCATATGGGAAGCGAGTCGACAAGGTAGTGAGATCCAAACAAAGTGGATTGTACGAGTGTATTGTAAGGTCTAAGGAGCTCGATAGAGCTCTGGGCTGACTATATACTGTACGAGAGAGAAGCTATGCCTAATGAGTGAATAGTGCAGTACATGGGTATGATATCGCGTGAGACACGTGCGACAAGATGCGCAACTACCATGATGTCTAAGAACTAGTTTTCGGAGCCGAGACAGCAAATTAGGGCTAGAATAGACGTTATTTCCATTGGGTTTGAATGCTGCAGACTTCTAAGTGTAATACTCTGTACTTTAAGGTTATTCTTTAGTGCTGATAATTTCTGCAACAAAGGGGCACAGAAGTCTCTTCCCCAGGTCATACTCACCGACCGACTAGTACAATTGAAACACAGGCAAGGATAGTTAAGGCAAATCCTTATTCGTAGGACCCTATGGGAGGAGTTGCGGCTAAAGGAGAGGTGAGATGAGATTGGTACTGTCGGCAACGAGTCTAACTCGGCGCTCTAGCAATACTGTTTCGCACGAGATTCTAGTGTTTTCTTTTTAGTTTGAAGTGGGTCTCTCACATGTAACCTCGCTGAAAAATCAAATACCGTAACAGAAACCCAATGGCACCGTAAGCTTAGGACACGCACGGCACCCTACAGCATGGATCGCTGCATGCTTACGGTGTTGCCCCACGCAGTCCGGCAATCCTGAAAATGCGTGGCGAGACTAAAGTGGCAAAAAGGCCAAATTCACCGTATTCTAGTGTAAGCATAGTACGAGTGGCGCAACATTCTTCCAGCATAGATCACATAACTCAATAGCAAACCAAATTTTACGCTCACCTCTTACATGCCTGTCTCTTAATAGCATGGGCTGAGGCGCTTTAACGGGGTCAACAAACGACCCACTCTTTCGCATCCCACTTACGCATGCTAAGAAGCGACATTCAGTCGTGCGACTGAAGGCATCCTAGGACAACGGGATCGACCCGTGTTTATCTGTTTCGGCAGGGGCGCAGGAACAATGCTTTGATTGGTGGGGGGAAGACCGGGATTCCTGCCCTATCCTGCTGTGGGCTAAGCCACGTTCTATCTAGTACATATTAATTTGTTTACACCTGAAAAGTTAACATTTTAAAGGTAGATTTCTAAGCTTAATTGCTAGGCTATCTTAGTAGTTTATTTGCTAGTCTCTAGCCTTTATAACTGTTTTTATTCTTTTTAGCACTAAATTAATTAGCTTCTTTGTAAGATTCTTAAGTAAGACTTGCTAAGGTTCTTTAGCAGCTCTAATAAAAGCCTCTCTATTAGCTTTCTATAGCCTTTAGCTCTCTAACCCTAGGTGCATTTTACAGATCTTCTTCTTAAGTGTATACTAAAAATATTTAATTAAATTTAGTCTAGAAAGTCGACTAGCTACTTAAGCACCACCTTATAATCTATTTGTTACAGTATAACAGAAGACAGTATACTGTGCTTGCATATTATCTCTAAACAACACTTGAAGACTATTAACAACAGCTCTAGCCTAACCCTAGAGCCTATGAACCGAATCTAATTGTCAGATTGAAGCACTGTTTCTAGGCTTCCTGAGATGAATGATGGGTTTGGATATGATGTATGGGATGATTGATTTATTGTCTTGATTTATCAATCCTTTTTCTGCTCTACCCGTGTTGCTCGGCTTTTTGTTTTGCCGATCCGAGTCCCTCGCGCACTTGCCCTATGCGCGACCAGCTTGCAACATGCTGCAATTTGCTGCAACATGCTGCAAAATGCTGCAAAATGCTGCAAAATGCTGCAACATGCAGCAATTTGCAGCAACATACTGTTCGAGCTTATTGCTCGTACTATGTAGCAGCTTTCGTCAAACGTTCCTCCTGTCTTGACAGTAGGTGCGCATATCTGACACTAATTCAGAGCTGGTTCGCGCAGAGGCTAGCTCGCGCGTCAACTGTAACAAGGTAGGCACAGTCAACCACGTAGCCTTCTCTTGCTTATAAAGGTTTAGGCTAGACTAGAGACAACCGCTAGTGCTAGTGCTAGCTCTAGCATTATCTATATATATATTATACTATGCGAGAATACTTAGCTTAAGTATTCTCGTGCGTACCTTTTAGTACAGTAGGGAAAGTTGTATAGTATCGGGTTGGCAGGCGGGGCGCCTACCTTATTACATTAACTAGACAACAACCGAACTTTGATTAGGCTAGTAGCGTACTAATTAGCCCCTAAGTACTTATTAATCTACAAAGAACCTCTAATCAAGCTTCTTACGCAACGTCTTGTATAATAGAATATTGTATAAGAGATTAAATCTAGGCCTTTCTTAATAGCTATCTATGCTACTACAAGTTAATTAATTGCTTCTTGTAACACTATTTTATTTAGCTATAGAGTAGTATAATTAGTAGTATATATTAGCATTTTATATATCTAATAGAGAGTATCTTTAGCTAAGATTAGTATAAGAATTTTTTTAAAGTCTAGATATACAACTAAGTGCTATAGCTATTCTATCTAGCTTTTAGATCTCTTTCTATTATAATAAGCTTAGATTAGCTATTATACTAGAACTAGGTTTAGAATATCTACACTATATTTTTACTTATGTCTATCTTTTTAGTTATCTTATAATTCTACTTTTATAATAGTATATAGAAGATCTATACTTATTTTTAGCTGTTTTCTCTCTCTACAAACACTTTATTTAAATTAATAATAGCTTTAATTAACATTTCTTTTTTTTCTAGATAATCTAAGTCTTGCTTTTATATATATAGAAGTAAAAATTAGTTACTTCTTTATAATCTAATTTATAATATAGGCTACGCTAGAGCTAGCTTAAGTATTTATTTAACTATAAAGAACTTTAATTTAAGCTCTTTACACAAGGTTTTATATAGTAGCATATTACATAAGAGACTAAATTAAACCTTTTGCTTCTAGTGTAATTTAAACTTTCTAATTAACAATTAACTGCCTCCTGTAACAGCATGTTGTAATAGAAGCTTTTAATTCTCTTACTTTTAATATAGATTAAACCTTAGCTTTTTATAATTTACTTAATTTATTATCCTTGCTTTAATTACTACTAATTTGCCTGCTAAGCTTATGTTTTATAGTTAATAGTTAATGTTAAGAAGAGAGAAATTTAGTAGTTAGCGTGTTGTTAGTAGTTAGGTGTTGTCAGATTGAAGCACTGTTTCTAGGCTTCCTGAGATGAATGATGGGTTTTGCATATGATGTATGGGATGATGATTGATTGTATTGATTGATCGATGTTTTGTTTTTCTTTTGTCTGCTCTGCTCGTGTTGCTCGGCTTTGTTTTTCCGGTCCGAGTCCCTCGCGCACTAGCCCTATGCGCGACCAGCTTGCAACATGCTGCAATTCGTTGCAAAATATTGCAAAATGCTGCAACATGCTGCAATTTGCAGCAACATACTGTTCGGGCTTATTGCTCGTACTATGTAGCAGCTTTCGTCCAGCGTTCCTCCTGTCTTGACAGTAGGTGCGCATATCTAACAGGTGTACACAAGCTAATGTCTTAGCACAATACGTACTCTATTGTTCCTCGCAAAGTCTTACCTAACGGCGAATCAATTAGAAGGAAGAAGAGCATGTGGTTTAAGAAACTTGCTTATTCAATCAAGAGAGAGAAAATTTGCCGCCACCAAGGTGTTCGTCGGTCCCGAAAACTGCTATGGCTGATGAGTAACCAATGCATCGACCGTCCAACTTAGTCGACCTTAGAAACCGGATCTCTCCCATTTTGCGCATGTGTCCTTTAAAATATTTGTGATTGCTTTAACCTGTTTTCTCTACATTAACAATGCTTTGCAAGAACTGTGATAAGCTCGAAACTTACCCTGTCATCTTGGTCAAACAAGTCGAAGTGATTCCCGAAAACATGGTGCACTGTTTGAAACAAATCACCCCCATAACGCTCCCAACCTAGCAGTTTATCGTCTCGATTGATATCTACATTAAGAAGTCCGTCTGGCCTCGACTTCGGCAGCGGTACGCGTGCCGTAGCTTTGAGAAGCACAACGGGTGGACATGCCGATACTGGTCGTACTCGCTGACCTGAGCCATTGCCCTGCAGAGTGCTCTCACCTCCACTCTCATCTACACGGGCACCCCAGCGCGGAGGTTCCCAGTTGCCTATGAGTTCATCGCAGACTTCAAATCGTCGCATGACGTTTTTGCGCACCGACTGGGGAGTCCAGCTCGGAAATTCTGGCTCGAAATTGACAAAACGGTCGCGGTACTCTCGCCATGGCGGCGTATACGGGCTATCGACGAGGATGATGCCGGCGGCGAAAAGAGGTTGGGTGCCATGCTCGGTGTGCCGCCGCTCGTCGTCCAACTGCCGCGCAATCTGGAGAGACACAAGGCCGCCCAACGACCAGCCTTTCAACAAAGATGTTCAAGTAAGCGATTTGTGCAGAGCCGGGGCGAAAGGCGTTGATAACTCTATACTAACCCCCAAGAACAATCGGTCCCTTTTTCCTCACCGTCCTGATGAATGTGATGTATTCTTGCGCCATCTCTACAATTCCGCCTGCCCAGCCGTCATCGCTCTCGAATTTGGGGTCATGGATACCGTAGACGCTGCGACCGAGATCGCCCAACATGAAATAATTGAAAATAGTGCCTCCACCATCGTGAATAAGAAAGAGGGGAGCTGCGTTGCCGGGAGCGTTCTGCAGCTGGATAGGATTCGCTTCAAGAAAAGTCATAGCAAAAGACAAATGCAGAGGGGTGGAGACCAAGAGAGCAAGCCGGACGATTTTAATAAGCAGCGATTCCAATGAGAGCACAGCAACGCGACTGAGCCTCGAAGTCAGTCTGTAGTGGGTTCTGTGGCCTTGGCCTTCACCTTCGAGCGCGTCGTCTCACTCGCTAACAGCGGCCCGCAGCGGCTACCAAGAGCGTGGGCATATTGTATGGGGACTCGGCAAGGGAAGAAGACAGAACGGCCCGGAGGAATCCAGCCAGGGTCAATTGCGGGGACCGTACCGCAACGCCTGCCGCGTCTTGGCAATGATTGTGTGCAGGGCATCCCTGCACCGGCTGTAAGCACTAACACGGCCAACTGGGCCCCTTTCGTATGCAGTGTGCCTCGCCGCACTAAAACCGTTTTCGGACCCCCTAACGTGCTCTCAACAACACCTCATCAAGAGCCAACACAACCAACTGGGCCCCTTTCGTACGCACTGACTGTGCCTCGCCTCAATAAAACCGTTTTTAGTCCCCTTTTCATAAGGAGCTCTCGTAAACTACCTCATCAAATCCGTTCTGGTCGGAATACCTCTTTGTTCCTGTTGTGACAACATGGCGAACTCTGGAGAGGGCTCCGCCGGCCAGAAGTCAAAGGTGGGCAAGGCCCGGCGGAAGAAGCTCGGCCAGGGCGGGTTCGTGCGAATTTTGGGCTATGCCACTTGGTTCGACCGCTTGCTCATGACATTAGCAGCTGCCTGCTCTGCGGGTGCAGGCGCAGCGCTGCCAATTATGACCATTGTGTTTGGCAAGCTTGTCGGCAACTTCACGGGCTACTTCACGGCGGGATCAGCCGTCACCGAGAAGGAGTTCCGCCATGGCGTGGATCGCAACGCCCTTTACCTTTTTTTGCTCTTTATCGGCAAGTTCGTTCTCGGATACGTCTCAACGTATGCCTTCCGCATGAGCGGCATTCGCATCTCGGCGGCGCTGCGCCTCGCGTATCTTTCGTCGCTTTTCGAGCTCCCCGTTAAGTTCATCGACAAGCTGCCGGCGGGCGAGGCTACCGACGCCCTGACGAATACTGCAAACACCATTCAGTTCGCCATATCAGACAAATTGGGCTCGATGGTGCAAGGCTTCTCACTTGTGATTGCGGCCTATGCCATTGCCTTCGTCTACTCGTGGAGGCTGACACTTGTATCAAGCTCGGTCATTATCTTTGTCACCACCATGCTGAGGATCACAACGCCTCATCTTATGAAGCACTACATTTCGATAATGGGGATGAATGCGGGGGCATCTGGTGTAGCTGGCGAGGTCCTCCGAGGGATACGGACCATCAAATCGCTTGGTGCTGAAGAGGAGGCTATGCGATGGCACAGTAAATTCCTGGACCTTGCCCAAGTATCCGGGTCTAAGCTGTCCATCTGGGTGTCGATGCAGTTCTGGCCGGCTTTCTTTGCCACGTACGCAAATATGGCACTTACCTTCTGGACTGGCGTCAAGTTCTACTCAGAGGGCTTGATCCCAGGCGTCGGCAATCTTACCACGTAAGTTTACGGAAGTCCACCGCTCGTATTATTATCTTTTGCCTAACAATGCTATAAACAGTGTCCTGTTCGCGGTCTTAATTGTCCTGGCAGGAATGGGCAACATCTTCACACCCTTGCAGTCAATCATCCGAGCCTCTTCCGCTTCAGTCTCAGTCTGGAAAATTATAGATGCGCCGAAGCCGAAGCCCGGCGGGCTTCAGCCACCCGATGTCAAGGCTGAGGAGGATGTCAAATTCGAGAACGTGCGATTCACGTATCCCAGCAGACCCGAGGCAGAGATCTTGAAAGGTGTCAATTTTACGATAAAGAGTGGGCAAGTAACCGCCTTTGTCGGTCATTCTGGCTGTGGAAAGAGTACAATTGTCGCGCTGCTGGAAAGGTGGTATGAGCTATCGGACATCAACGAGGCACTCTCCAATGCGGCCACAGCGACTCAGATTAAAGTCGAAGCCCCGATAACAGACGGCTCGGAGACGAGCGACTCAACGGGGATCAAGGAGAACAAAGTTGAAGAGAAGAGCGAGAGTGGCGTGAAGAGCGAGGCTGGCGTGTTTCAGAATGCCGGCCGGATCCTGGTCGGTGAGCGCAGCCTTGAGGAGATCGATCGCAAGTGGTGGCGGTCTCAGATCGGTCTCGTACAGCAAGAGCCAGTACTTTTCAACGAGACCATCTTCGAGAACGTGTCCAAAGGCCTTCTTGGTTCTCAGTGGGAGGATGCGCCACGCGAAGAGAAGCTTCAGCTGGTTCAGGAGGCATGCAGAGAAGCGTTCGCGGATGAATATATTTCAAAATTTCCCCAGGGCTACGACACCGTCGTGGGCGAGAGCGGGATCAAACTATCAGGAGGGCAGCGACAACGTTTAGCCATTGCACGCAGCATCATCAAAAAGCCTAAGATCCTGATCCTTGACGAAGCGACGAGTTCGATCGATGTTCGCGGTGAGCAGCTCGTCTCTGCAGCTCTAGACCGTGCATCTAGAGGAAGGACGACTATCGTCATAGCGCATCGTCTGTCCACAATCCGACGTGCTGACCACATCGTTATGCTTCAAGAAGGCAGGGCCATCGAGGAGGGGACACACGATGAACTAGTAACCAAAGAAGGCGGCCTCTACTCTGACCTTGTTCAGGCATCAACCCTTGAGTTTGGCCACCACGAAGAGGAAGCACTGATTCAACATGAAGAAGGCGAGTCCGAGACGTCACATCCCGAAAAGCAGCAAGACTCTGTGCAGGAGCAAAAGAGCCTCAACAGCGTATTGCACAAAGTGAAAGCAAAAGTATCCTTCCGATCGGTCGGATATTTGTTGATTGAACAGAAGCGCTACTACCTTCTCTACTTCTTTGCACTTGCTGGCGCGATGGGCGCAGGTGCTGCTGTACCCGTACAAGCTTGGCTCTTCTCGCACATCATCACCGTCTTTCAAGAAACCGACAAACACAAATTAGAAGACGATGGGAGTTTCTGGGCTCTGATGCTCTTTATCCTAGCCATTGCCGCGGCCATCTCCTACGCCACTATCGGCTACTTCAGTAACACAATTTCTTTCCGCGTTAGCACGGTGTACAGGAAAAGCTACTTTGAAAGCGTTGTTATGAAGCCGATTCATTGGTTCGACGACGAAGACCGCTCGTTCGGCACTTTGACTGCACAGCTTGGGAGCGATCCTCAACAGCTTCAAGAGTTGCTGGGTGTCAATATAGCTTTCCCGCTCATTGCTATCTTTAACCTCATGGGCTGTACCATCGTCAGCTTCATCTTTGGCTGGAAACTGAGCCTAGTGATCTTCTTCGCCTCGCTTCCAGTCATTCTGATTGCGGCTTTCTTCCGCATCCGCTACGAGATGTTATTTGTCGCTATGAATGAGAAAGTCTTTGCAGAGTCGACCAAGTTTGCCGCTGAAGCAATCACTTCCTTCCGGACCGTTACAGCTCTGACTTTGGAAGACGCCATCTCAAAAAGATACAAGTCACTGTTGGATGGACATATCCACGATGCCTTCCTGAAGGCTCGGTTCACTATCCTCGTCTTCGCATTGAGCGACAGCTTAGAATTCTGCTCGATGGCTCTCGGCTTCTGGTACGGAGGCCGACTGTTGGCGACTAGAGAGTACGACTCTATGCAATTCTTCATCATCTACGCCGCGCTCATCCACGGCGCTCAAGCCGCCGGACAGTTCCTTGCGATTGGACCGAACGTTGCCAATGCTACTGCAGCAGCCAACCGCATCATCGCTTATCGACAAGGTTCTGAATCCATCTCTGCCAAGAAGAGCGACAACGACAACGACAAACCTACTGGTTGCAAACTCGAATTCCGCAACGTAGGCTTCCAATACCCAACTCGAGACGTACCAGTCTACAGAAATCTCTCATTTACTATTGAGCCGGGACAATTTGTGGCTTTTGTAGGCCCATCAGGCTGCGGCAAGACGACCATCATCTCGTTGCTCGAACGCTTCTACAACGTCAACACGGGCTCCATTCTCATCAACGACCAAAACATCACCGACCTCCCTCTATCACACTACCGCAGCCTATGCGGCCTAGTGTCGCAAGAGCCCACCCTCTTCGACGGGACAGTACGAGAGAATCTCATCCTCGGGCTACCATCCGGATCCGCTACTCCACAAGACGCCATCGACGCCGCATGTAAGGCAGCCGAAATCTACGACTTTGTCGTGTCACTCTCTCAATCTTTCGATACGCCCCTCTCTGCAGGCATGCACTCAAGTCTCTCGGGCGGCCAGAAGCAGCGCTTGTGTATTGCGCGAGCACTTCTGCGAAACCCGCAACTGTTGATGTTGGACGAAGCGACCAATAGTCTTGACAGCGTGAGTGAGGGTTTAGTACAAAAGGCTATCGAGCAGCTGGGCGGCAGCAGGGCGCTGACGATCATTGTGGTCGCACATCGATTGGCGACGGTGCAGCGTGCAGATCGCATCATTGTCATGGGTGAGGGAGGTGTAACTCTAGAGGATGGCACGCACAGTGAATTGATACAGAAGAAAGGCGTTTATTGGGATATGTGTAAGGCACAGGCTTTGGATCGGTAAAATAGATATGGAATTTCATTGTTTGCTCTTCGGTTACAGCATGGCGAGCTCTACGGACGAGTAGAAAAGCACGGGTGGAGCATTGTTCATCATGTGGAACACTCGACAGAGGTCAGGACAGCAAAATACTCTTAGCGGTATCCGCTGGGACAGCGGCGTTAAGAGTCTACGGATGCAACCTAGCTCATCTAAGAGAAGCAAAGAGGGGAGCCCAATCACCACTCTCATCGTTCCATTTTTGTTCGATTAACGAAGAAGATTCGCGTGGGTTCCATCACTACGAGACTCTCTTGTAGACAATCCACCAGGTCACCAAGAACTTGGAGGTTCTACCAAATATAGAGCTTTTTGTGGGACCCTCCACACTACTGCTTTTTCATGTCTTCGTGTACTCAACGGACCGATCACTACCATTTCCAATGGCCTGATCGATCGGCAGCATACTGCAAATATTAAGATGTCTCTGATCGGACTAGGTGAGTGGGCCTTGCTGCAGTAAGACTCTTCACGTAACCAGCGAAGCAGCCGACACAGCTCTTCTCGTGTCAGGTGTACTCCCAAGCTTACTCTCAGGCGTACAATTTGGGATAAGGCGCGGGTAATTACAGTAGTCGGTGAGAAAAGGAAGGAGTGAGATGACCTGACATGTGTCCTAACATATCGACCCATTTCGGAGCGACGTTGCGCTGCTTATGATTGAATCGCTGACTTCGCCGGAGGTAGGCAGCCGTACTAACTTACATTACTCCATGTCTCTCTATTCTCCGGCATATCTTCACATTGCATAAATTTGTGGCCCCGACTGGAGCCCTGTGAGCTGTGCCACACGGAATGCAGGGGATGCATAAGGCCCTAGCCGCAGGGTAGTCTGATGGGGGAGATCCTCTCAGGGTAGCTCACCATCTCGCACTGCCATTTGCTAGTGGGTATTGCCAATACGGCACTAATCTGGCGTGATTGGATCCTCTTCACACCTTTGTTATTGCGGAAGGAATTTTGTTTATCACCGCTTTTCATTTGTCAGAGACTGATTGCTAATTGCAGGGCGATATTTCGCTCATGATGAGCAGTACCAAAGACCCAGGAAGGAGATGAGTCACTCTGTGAAAGATGGGTCTGCAGAGATCTAACGGGAGCTGGACGTGACGGGTTGCTGGGAGGTGGACTAGACGCCGAAGATCTTTCACAGCAAAAGCGGTGATGCTACATATTTGTATTTATCTACTATAACAAATTTTGGTTGAGCTTTTGCAATGTCCTGTACATGTAAGCTGTGCGTGGAACCGGTACATTTACTCTGGAAGCTTGTGATAGTATATATCCTGTTGCTCAATGTTAGTGTTCTGCTGGGCAACGAGTGTACCGCGACATTCACTTACCGAACACTGGAGACAGCTCAATCGGGCGTCTCTTGCGAGCATCCTGTAATGTGGAAGGTACAATCGGTGCGGTCTTCCTTGCAACATCGACCACTTGGAATGGAAAGTCTTCTTCAATATCGATACCGCTTACCAGAGCAACATTGAATGCTTCTTCTGCAAGCTCCAGAACGACTTCTATCGCAGCGGGGATTTCGAGAAGCTGGTGAGTATTGAGACCAGAGACCGCAGTAGTAGAGTTCCATGCATTGTTGAAGATCAACTTCTTCCATCGCTCCTTGTATACGCTCTCTATGCTCTTGATACAAGGATCCATTGCAGCAAGAAAATCGCGTCGGGCACTGTCTGCCCGATGGCCTTGTCCACTCCGCCCGGTGATGCCAACGAGGAATGGGGATTTGTTTATACCAGCTGCCTGGTCAACGAAGCCTGCGCGAAGTTGAGTGCAGTTAGTGTTGACCAGCATTGCGAGGACAGTGTTGTCTGGAAATGCCTCGATTAGCGGCGCTTCGACATTCATGCCGTTTTGTGCGGACACAATCGTCGTGCCTGGTTTTACGAGTGGTCTCAGATTCCTTGAAATGGTGGACCAGTCATCCAGGACTTTGTTGGTGCAGATAATATAGTCGACTGGCTTCGAGAAGAGTGTCTCGCCAAAGGTGTCTACATGGCAGACCTGCCTAGGTAAGAAGCGACCATGACCCCAAATAGTCGATCGTATCAAGTATCCAGACCTCTTGACAGTTTCATAGTTGGAACGACAGACGACTGATACGTGATTTGAGGCCTGTTGCGCAAGTCTCCACCCTATGACGGAGCCGACGGCTGTTGGAGAGATTGTCAGCTTCTCTCTTGATCCGACGTATGGAAACTCCTCACCACCGCCGCCATATATCAGAATATTGCAACGAATAGCCATAGTCACGCTATACAGGTGACATTAGCTGTTGTCCTGGATGTCGGCTCGATCACACCTCTTGTGTCCGTCTCATTCAGCTTCGGGCTCTAACGGAACGACTCATATAATGGGATAATCTGCGGCCAAACTTTTACACGAACATCACGTCTGAGCAAATCAAAGCAAAGTGCTTCAAGTTCCCCGCAGGCACCTGTAGTGGGAGTCAGTTACCAGCCAGCCGATCCTTCATGGAGTTAAAAAAAAAACCAACAGCTTCGTATGAGGAGTCAACCGGCAATCCTACCGCATGGATCACTACTGCACAAGCAACAAAATAGAGCCAAGGTCTCACACCGGTAATTAGAACCTGGTATGGGTCGTTCAGGCCCTCATGGTGTCGTGCGAGTGATATGCTACACGGATGCTGAACCTTGCAATGATACACAGATGCTAAATCTCGCGATGCTTCCCAAGCAACGGCAAGAGCTAAGGACACGGCAGCTAGCGGGTCGATCCTAAATTATAGCTCGGAAATATCCAGTGAAGTTTCCATCCTTAGATCAGCATGCTTACGTGCGTTCTCCGCGCAATATGCCGAAAACCGCGACTGGCCATCCCACTACATACAACATCGGGCTGCAGATGGATACTGAGTGTAGCGCAGCATTCGTACAACGAGGGTCCCAGAGCAGGGGTACCGGGGGTTGGGTAGCACTCAGTCTTTCTTGAATAGAGGGTTGGCGATGTGCACGCTTACGAGCCTGGTTTTGTGTATCCTTGCGCATATCATATGCGTACATTACATAGAATTACGCCTCGTTTATGGATGTACGAGCTGCTACGGCGATTCATACCTTTTTTTTGACTGCAAGTCGGTGCCTCCAACAGGAACTTTAGCTTTTTCGCCGTCTATTCACAAGAACTAGAGTATGCAGAACAACGACGATGGATAACTATCTACGTATGAGAATACTAAGCAAGATCCAGTAACAATGGAAGGAGTACTCGATATGTCGGTCCGCAAGCAGTTGGCTCACGAGTTTGGTGGAGATCCAGGTAAGGTTGAAGACATCCTGCCATGCACGCCGTTTCAACGGGACGTGGTGGCATGGAGTGCGAGCAAACAGCATGAGGCAGTCGGCCATGTCCTCCTTGAGATTACTAACAACACCGATATCGAGCGCTTGGCCGCAGCATGGAAGAAGGTGCATCACCTGATTCCAGCCTTCCGCACTTGCGTATTCATGTCCTCCTCTGGAGATTGCTTCCAAGCGATCTTGTCCGAGGCGATGGTTTGGAAACACGTCAAGACTTCGGACCTTGATAAAGTCGTTGAAGAGGAGAAAGCCGCCGCTATCGACGAGTCCCAGTGGAACAGGTTCGCGGTAGTTGTGTCATCTGACGGAAAGCGGCGCAACTTGGTTTGGACATTTAGCTACGCGAACTTCGACAACTCCTTTCAGGAGCGCATCCTGGACATGGTACATACCGCCTATATCGGTGGAGAGCTCCAGCCCTCTGGGGGACTAAAGACGATGGTCGAGTCGCTCGGTAAGAACTCTGAAAGGGCAGCGCGATTCTGGCAACAGCGGTTTGACGGCTTCAACGCCGCTGTCTTTCCAGCACTGTCGTCTGTCAAGGTTGTGCCTCAGCCGGATGCTCGCGCACAGCACGAATTCTCGTGTATCACTGGTCCGCACCAGAAACGGCCAAGCACAGTGATTTGTCGAGCCGCTCTTGTAGCGCTTCTTTCGCGCTATACTCACAATGAAGATGTGCTTTTCGGCGCTATAACAGAGCGGTCTCCTGTGCTTGACGGGTCAGAGCAACTAGTTGACGGTCCCACTAGGGCGCTGGTGCCTGTCTGCACGCGAATTTTGCCTGAAATGAGTATTTCGCACTTGATGGATGCAGTCGCCGAGAACGACACTGCTGTACATGAGTTTGAGCAGACTGGCCTCCGACCTCTTGCCAATGTCGAAGGCGAAGAATCGGCGGCCGGTGCATTTCAAATTGTACTGGCAGTGACTGCTCTAGGTATTACTCATGCGTTAAGTTCCGCCCTATATCGCCCTACAGTCACCCCGGATAGGTTCGCACCTTATGTCGACCGCGCCATTTTGATCCATTGCCATATGTCCCAGGCTTGGGCGTCATTGTCAGCTCGATACGATCCGAGGGTCATCGATACTCCTCAAATCAACCGGTTCCTTACACAACTAGGGGCTTTGATTCAGTGCTTCTCTAATTCCGAGGTCGACGTACCTGTAAGGTCACTGGACATGGTCACTCCAGAAGACCGCGCAGAAATTAACTCTTGGAATTCGACCCAACCTCAACCCCGCGAAGTCTGCATCCACGACGTAATCTCTCGATTTTCGACCGATACTCCTCAAAAACCCGCTGTATCTGCCTGGGATGGCCAGTGGACATACGCCGAACTCGAAAATTTGTCGTCTCGTCTCGCGGTATACATCCTATCTCTCAATTTGGATATGGGACTGGCGGTACCCTTATGCTTCAACAAGTCCAAATGGACGGTTCTTGGGATGCTTGCAGTCCTCAAGGCTGGTGGCGCATTCACCCTCATCGACCCCTCCCTTCCAGCAGCCAGGATCGTCAGCATATGTCAGCAAAGTCAGTCCAAGATCGCGCTGGTTCCTAAGGTTCACCTTGATACTATGCGTACCGCCATAGGTCATTGCATTGCTGTTAACGACGACCTGATACAGTCCCTTCCTCGTGACGAGACTCAGCTTAAACCCGTCGCAAAACCGAACGATCTGGCGTACATCCTGTTCACCTCCGGTAGTACGGGAGAACCCAAAGGATGTATGATCGAGCACCGAGGATGGGCTTCGTGTGCTCTTGAATGGGGCCCTGCACTTGGGATCAATCAGAGTACCCGTGCGATGCAGTTCGCATCGTACACGTTTGGTGCTTCCCTAATCGAGACCCTAGCTCCCCTAATGCTTGGCGGTTGCGTCTGCATTCCTTCCGACGATGAGCGTATGAATGATCTTCCAGGCTTCATGAAGCGAGCGCATGTGAACTGGGCATTCTTTACTCCTTCGTTCGCTGGGACGTTCCATCCAGACAGTGTTCCCGGGCTTCAAACTCTGGTGCTGGGTGGCGAACAAATGTCGGAAGACGTCAAGAACACCTGGGCTCCACGAGTTCGGCTTTTCCACGCCTATGGCCA